CCAAAATTAAATCCAGAACAGATAAGCAACTTAAATAGACCTATAACCCACAATGAAATTGAAGCATTCATCAGAAGTCCCCCAACCAAAAAAAAGCCTGGCGCCAGATGGCTTCAATGCAGAATTCTACCAGAAATTCAAAGTACAGATCACAAACCTACACAAAGATACAATTAAAAAAGAGAACTACTGACCAATATCCCTCATGACCATCAATGCAAAAATACTCAACAAAATATTGGCAAACAGAATCCAAGAACACATCAGAAAAATCATCCACTATGAACAAGTAGGCTTCATCCCAGGGATGCAAGGATGGTTCAACATAGGAAAATCCATCAATGTAATCCACCATATAAACAAACTGAAAAAGAAAAAAACAAATGATCATCTCAATGGACAGTGAAACAGCCTTTGAGAAAATCCAACATCCTTTCATGATAAAGATCTCAGAGAGAATGAGAATAACAGGAACATATTTAAATATGTTAACAGCAAACCAACAGCCAACATCAAACTAAATGGAGAGAAACTCAAGGTGATTCCTCTAAAATCAGGAACAAGACAAGACTATCTCCATATTGCTTCAATATTTTACTGGAAGATGTAGCTAGAGCAATACGATAACAAATGGAAATAAAGGGGATATAAATTGGAAAGGAAGAAGTCAAACTTTCACTATTTGCAGATGATATGATAGTCTACATAAGTGACCCGAAAATCTATACCAGGGATCTCCTACAGTTGATAAACACCTTCAGCAAAGTGGCAGGATACAAGATTAATTCAAAAAAATCTGTAGCACTACTATATACAGATGACACATTGGTGGAGAAAGAAATCAGAGAAACATCACCCTTTACTATTGCCACAAACAGCATAAAATACCTTGGGGTAACACTAACCAAAAAAAGTGAAAGACCTGTACCGTAAGAATTTTGACTCTCTAAAGAAAGAAATTAAAGAAGATACCAGAAAATGGAAAGATCTCCCATGCTCTTGGATAGGTAGGATCAACATAGTAAAAATGGCAATCTTGCCAAAAGCAATCTACAGATTCAATGCAATCCCCATCAAAATCCCAACAATTATTCTCAGACCTTGAACGAACAATTCTCAACTTTATATGGAGAAACAAAAGACCCAGGGTAGCCAAAACAACCCTGTACAATAAAGGAACTTCTGGAGGCATCACCATCCCTGACTTCAAGATGAAAACAGCTTGGTTGGCACAAAAATAGACAGGTAGACCAATGGAATAGAGTTGAAAACCCTAATATTAACCCACACACCTACGAACACCTGATTTTTGACAAACAATCCAGATTCCAATGACAGTTTATGCTGGAGAGGATATGGAGGAAGGGGAACACTTCTCCACTGCTGGTGGGAGCGCCAACTTGTACAGTCACTTTGAAACTCAATATGGTGACTCCTCAAGAAAATGGGAATCAGTCTACCACAAGATCCAGCAATTCCACTCCAAGGCATATACCCAAAAGATGCACATTCATACAACAAGGACATCTGTTCAATGATGTTCATAGCAGCATTATTTGTAATAGCCAGAAACTGGAAGCAGACCCTCAACCGAAGAATGGATAGAGAAAATGTGGTACATTTACACAATGGAGTACTACTCAGCAGAAAAAAACAATGGAATCTTGAAATTTGCAGGAAAATGGATGGAACTCAAAGAAACCATTCTGAGTGAGGCAACCCAATCACAAAAAGACAAACATGATATGTATTCACTCATATGTGGATTTTAGACATAGAGTAAAGGATTACCAGCCTACAATCTACACTGCCAGAGAAACTAGTAAACAAGGAGTACCCTAAAAGAGACAAACATTGTCCCCTAGAAAAGGGGAAAGGGTCACGATCCCCTGAGCAAATTGAGAGCATGTGAAGTGTGGGGAGGGAGCTATGAGAATGAGAAGGGAAGAAGAGAAAGGATGCTGAGGTCATGAGGGACCAGAAAGGTTGCATCAGGTGTAGATTAGAAGAAAGGATATGTGATAGGTAGGATTTTAATTGGGCGGGTGGTAGGAGAGGAAGGGAGGGAGAAGGGAACTGGGATTGTCATGTAATTCAATCTTGTTTGTAATTCAAATAAAAATGATTAAAAAAATAAGAAAAAATGTGTTAGTCATTTGTGTGCCTTCGTTTGAGAACTATTTGTTCATTTCTTTAACCTATTCATTGGTTGGCAGGTCTGCTTGTGTTTAATAGTTGTAGCTCTTTGTAGTCTAGATATTGACACACTGTAGTGTAGCTTGCAAACACTTTCTCCTACTCTGATGATAGTTTCTGTTGGGTTGGAACCTATGCTGGCCCTTGCACAAGCTGGGAAACCCCGTCTGCCCTATTTCCTCCAATCCACCCTCACTGAGACAACTCTGAACAGAGGTATGGCACCTAAAGCCCAGTTCTGCATTTCTGGCAGCCTATGCAACCCTCCCTTCTGACATGGCCAGCTCACCCAAGTACCCGCCCAGGGACTTAGCTTCTGACATACTGGCATTCAGTCTCAGCTCCTGGTTGACATGTCATTACCCCTTACCTAAGGTCTATAAAACCTCCCTGGTTTAGCTTGGGTGTGTGACTTCCCTGGTCCTGTTCTTTGGGACTGGTAAAACCTTCCCAGTAGCAACTCCCAATAAACCTGCATTTATCTTTTTGATTGTTTGTTTTGGTTCTTTTTGTTGTTGTTGGTTTGGTTTGTTTTTTCTGAACAGGATTTCTCTTTAGCTTTGGAACCTGTCCTGGAACTCGTTCTGTAGACCAGGCTTGCCTTGAACTCATGTAGATCAACCTGTCTCTGCCTCCTGAGTGCTGGGATTAAAGGTGTGAGCCACTACTGCCTGGTCTGTATTTATCTGTTTTTAATCCTGTCTGAACTGGACTTTTTGCATCTGCAGAAACATTATCAGTTTCCTTGGTTTAATTTTGTATAATTTTGTTTGTCAGTTCTTAGGTTTACATTCTGTGCTACTTGAAAAATCACCTAGGCTTGTATCTTGGATATCTTGTCCCTATTTTTCCCTAGTAGTTTCAGCAGTTTGTTTTGTTATTGTTGTTTTCAAAATAGGGTTTCCCTTTTTAGCCCTGGCTGCTCTGGAACTCTCTCTATAGACCAGGCTAGCTTTGAACTCAATTTGGAGAATCTCCTGCCTCCCTCCTGAGTGCTGGGATTAAAAGACGAGTGCCACCAAGCCCAGCAGCAGTTCACAGTTTTATTTATTTTAGTATTATTATTACTATTGGTTTTTTTCAGGACATGGTGTCTTATGACCACAGCGCCTCTTATAAAAGAAAACATTTAGGGGTTGGAGAGATGGCTCAGAGGTTGACCTCTGGCTGCTCTTCCAGAGGTCCTAAGTTCAATTCCGACATGGTGGCTTACTATCATCCATAATGAGATCTGGTGCTCTCTTCTGGCAGGTAGACATACACATAGGCAGAACATTGTATGTCTAATAAATAAATCTTTAAAAAATAAATAAATAAAAAAGCATTTACCTGGGGCTTGCTCCCATTATCATCAATGGTGAGAAGCCTGGTGGCATGGAGGCAGACATGTTGCTGGAGAGGTTGCTGAGATTTCTACATCTGCATCTGCAGGGAGAGAATGAGAAAGCCACTGGGCCTGACTTAGGTTTCTGAACCATCAAAGCCCATCTCCCAGTGGTAAACTTCTTGCAACGAGGCCACACCTACTTTGACAAGGCCACAAATCCTAATCCTTTCAAATAGTGTCACTCCCTATGCGATTATGGGGGGGCATTTTCATTCAAACACCCCACCAGGAGGGTTTCATTTTGTAGCCTTGCCTGTCCTGGAACTAGCTCTGTAGATAGGCTGGCCTTGAATTCAGAGATCTGCCTGCTTCTGCTTCATAAACGCTGGAATTAAAGGCATGTGCCACCATGCCTGGTTTAGCAGTTCAGGTTTTAAATTAAGGTCTTTGATCTATTTTGAATTGTTTTGTGCAAGGTTAGAGATGTGGATCTAATTTCATTCTTTTTCAGCTGGATATGCTCTTTTGCCAGTTCCATTTGTTAAGCAGGCCTTTCTCCATTGTATCTTTCTACCTTTGTTAAAATTTAGGAGGCCATAGCTATTTAGATTCCAAGTCCTTTATTCTGTTTCATTGGTCTACATTTCTTCTTTGTGCCAATACCATGCTGTCTTTGTCATAATAGCTCTGTAGTCACATTTTTTAATACCTCCAGGAGTGTTCTTGTTACATAGAATTGTATAGCTAGCTATCTGTGGTCTTTTATGTTTCCAATATCTCTGATGCAGAATATATTCATTTGGGTACATGCCCAGAAGTGGTATAGCATTGAATCTGTAGATTACTTTTGGTAATACTGTCATTTTACAACATTTAATTCTGCTAGTCCAGAAGCCTGGAGAGAGTTTCCATTGTCTAGTGCCATCTTCAATTTCTTTCTTTAAGGTCTTGAAGTTTCCAAGGAAGAGGTCTTTCAACCTCCTTGGTTAGGCTCACTCTTAAATAATTTTTCTTAATACATATTTACATAGTTAAAATAATATTCCACAACAGTTGTGAGCCATCACATGTCTGCTGGGCAATCAACTAGGGTCCTCTGGAATATCAGCTAAATGTTCTTAACCACTGAGCTATCTATCTCTCCCCACCCCCCAGATGATTTCTTTGAAGTGATTATACAACTGGGATATTTTTCTTAATTTCTTTTCAGAAAATTCACTATTGATATATATAAAAGCTAGTGTTTTTTGTATATTGTTTTTGCATCCTGTAGATTTACTGAAAGTATTTACCAGATTTTAAAGTTTTCTAGTGGAATCATTATGGATATTTGAGTATACAATGAGGCCATCTTCAAATTTATTAACTTCTTCCTTTCCCATTTGTATCTCTTTCATATCATTCTATTATCTTCTTCAAACACTACATTGAATGAAAGTGTAAAGAATGCACACTTTTGTATAATTCCAGATAGAAAAAAATGCTGTCAGTTTTTTTCTCATTTAGTATAATGTTGGTTATATACTTTGTCTCATAAACCACTCTCTCCATATATGTGTGTGTGTGTGTGTGTGTGTGTGTGTGTGTGTGTGTGTATGCAACATTGTAACATACATACATATATACATTATTATGCTCAGTGTTCAGTATGTCCCTAATTTATTCAGGATTTTTATCATGAAAGTATATTTTTTGTTAATGTGACATGACGAAATCTAGGCTGAAAGGAACAATTACTTTCATCATAAGCCCCCTTTTATTATATATGTATTATAATATATATATAAAAACATATTTCAAAAAATTAAAGCAAAAACCTATTTATGTGTGAAAGATGACCTTTAAGTTGAGACCATGACTTGGTGTTTTCTCCTTTTGTTTTTGTTGAAATAAATATATTTAATATTAATAAATTTAACTATTTAAGCAGAATTTAAAGTAATGCCCAAAGTACATGTGTGCATAATAGATACTGAGTGATTATAGAGCTAAAAGACTTGACCACATTCTTATGATACTCTTAATAACATAGATCACACTCTTCAACTTATTCTCACATTTTATATACTTAACATGTTGAATTTGAGGTAAACACATAGCCTACAATTAGCTATGGACTAATATTTCCATTGTTATTGTCTGATGAATATTAGCAACATTACATAACCCACACAACAAAGAAAATGTGTCCTTACAAGAAATGTAACAGAATATTATGTATTTTCTGACTCTCATTTACTCTATACAAATTCTTCTCAAAACAGAGAAGCCATTATTGGTATTAACACTCAACCAGAAGTTCATTATTTAATAATATATAAGTACAATTTTTAATTATATTTTGCAATTTTCTTCCCCACAGTATAAATGTTCTAATAAAAAAAGATGGAAAATAATTAAAAACAATTCAGGACTGAAACTGTTATGGGTCTGGGTTATTTTGTTATTGTTCTTGTAAACTGAGTCTGGACCTTACCTTTTTATCATTTTTAGAACTGATGTATCCATATTTTTTTTTTTAGTTTTGGTATTGGACAGGCAACCAGTTAAGGTATGAGGAAACAAGGGAAAACTGTGGTTGAATCTTGGCATCTCCATCTCACTATTTCAGATTGCCCTTTGTGGTTAAAGATTCTTGAAGCTGTCATATTCAAGCGTTATCAGAAATGAAGGACCAGGGTATGTTCCCACTTGTGTGCACTAAGGGAAGCTCTGCATCTGTAAGATGTTCTTATCACCCACTTAGGCTGTAGTTTTGAATTCCCCCCACTCCATGGGCTTTCTTAGAGAATCATGGGAAGAAATATCCTTCAGAGGAAATCCCATCCATCATGGGAGGTCAAAAAGGTTGTTCCCTTTTAAATGTCACTCACTCACTCAGTAACTATTCCTGAGAATCTTACAACCCCACAATGCAGAATCCACTAAACTGCTCCCTACCTTTGGGCAGCCCACTCCAGTGACTGTATTATTTGCTTATCTTTTCTAAATAAACTGTTCAAGTTACCTGTTTCTTGACTGATTTTTTTCCTTTCCTTCAAAAAGACAAAAACTCAGGGATCCCATAACACAGTGGTTCTTAATCTTCCTAATGCTGTGTACAGTTCATGTTGTAGTGACCCCCAAACATAGAATTATTTTTGTTGCTGTTTCATAACTGTAATTTTGCTACCATTATGAATTATAATGTAAATATCTGATATGCAGGATTATGCTTACCCCATGAAAGGGTTGACTTCCCAAAGGGGTTACAACCCACAGGTTGAAAACCCTGCAGTTTTGCTAATTAGTTTACAGGACAACAAAAGCCTATCTTATATAAAAAAAAACTAAAATAAGTTGATTTTGGATTCTTCAAGATTTCACACAATCTGGGAGCAATAGATAGACTTTCTCTACTGTGTTCCTATTGGTTTAGCCAGTGCCTTGCTCATAAAAATATTGTTTAAAGGCGTGAACTTGATTATGTAGCTGTTTTACAGTTATTTGGAGGCTGGAAAGATGGCTCAGCTGTGTAGTACTTACTACTTTTTCAGAGGACCTGCATTTGATTTGGGGCAGCTCAAGCTGGCAACCACCTAGAACCCGAATCCCAGAAGATTGGAGGCTCTCCTCTGGCCTCTGCCAGTTCTCAAAAATACACATACACATTAAAACAAAAACCTTTACAGTAACTTAGTAAAGGTTTGGATTTAGAAACAAATGCCCATTACAAATTGTCTCACCTACGTTAATTGTTAGTAAGACCAACTTTTCTGGAAGACAGTGAAATGGCAAAAGAATAACAAAAGGGACACATTCTTTTCTGTATTACTTGTATTAAGACAAGTACTTAAATCATTTAGTATTGGAGCTAAATAGATGCTTGGCGTATAAGTTCATTAGCTGTGAATCCTGGCAGCACCGCAAGTTGTGAGAGCTGGGCCAATTTGATTGGCTTAGCTAAACCTTCCTTACCCCTAGGGTGGCTGCTAGACTCCCAGAAAGCTTACTTAATGTGTTTTGGCGCTCGGTATGGCTCCCATCAGGAACTGTAAGGAAAGTTAGCAATTCAGTGATAGACGGGGCAGGAAGATGAGCCAGGCACTGTAATAGTTGGATTACCAAAACCCCCAAACTAGAAACTGCTGACATTATTTAGGATTACTCTTGGCTTCATGAGACGCCGCTTTAAAAAAATCAAAATAGAAGCCGAATTTTAACTCAAAAGATCATGTAACGTACAGCATTCCCAGTCCTTTCAGGGTGGAAGCGAGCAGTTTTCGTTCATAACGTGGTGCAGAAGCCTAAGACAAAGCACGATCGCACAAGAATCGATGCCATTCCAAAAGATAAAAGCAGCCGAGTTTTCCCCTAAGCTCG